AACTAGAGACCATCTTGCAATGGGATCACAGCAGCCTGCCAACATGTTTATGTTCTGTGGTTGTAGTTGGTAGTCATTACTACATTATGACATGAGTACTGAGCACTCATGGGTCGGATCTCTGATTTTATTTTGATCTCAGCTACACACCTGTAAAGTTTTGCGACTGCATCTTGCCAGATCGTGAAGCTAAGGCGTTGACACAATGTGTCCACAGAGATATAAACACCTGGCAAAGTGCTCAAAATCACCTCTGTGGTAGTTCTCGCAACAGTAGTATGTGCCTCCAGGACCACATTTTGGCTTAATGACACAGACACACAAAAGACTCACAAGGTTGCGCCTGTTAAAAACCCTCCAGTACAGCGACTGGTGTGGTTCAATAATGTGTCCATTTTATCTTCTGTTCCTTAGTTCCTGGTGTTTAACTGTCTTGCAACTCAGTCCCACCTCCCTGGAGGAATATTATTAGAAGAACATTTGTCTCCTCACCTTTGTTTTAGTTGGTGTTGCCAGAAGACTGGAGGTATTGCCTGTATGGGGAACTATCGCAGAAAAAACACCCACACCTGTTACATTATTTGCCTAGAAGCTACTGTTTCACTCCACTGCTGTTCAGTAAAGTAACTGAAGTGCGCATATAATCCTGTTATCATGACTAGATCCAAACTAAACAAGAGTCTTATATTTTGATCTGTCGAATTCTAATCTCATACACAAACATTTCTGCCTGTGTCAATTTGCTTTGTATTCACCTTTGTGTTCCAGCATCCAAAATCAACTCTGCACTGTAGAATAGATGATGGGGCAAGCAGAGGATTTAATGTGTACAACCAGTGTCTAACCGGATGTTCTCAGAGCTTGGCTTAGAATGAAGGGAGATCTCATATCTGCTGTCTTCTGCAAGAACTCTTGGTGTTTTGTTCAATAGTTTAAAGTTTCAAGCAGCAGACAACAAAAGTTTGCTCAATTGTGTTTTTATAATCTTAGAAATATTTGAAAAAATCAATTTTAAGTTTTAAAGACACAGAGCCTTTCTTTTCTTTCTTTACATGCTTTTATGTCCTGACACTTTAATTATGGCAACAGCCTTTTTACTTCTATTAATCAACTACCAAGTGCACCAAAGTCAGCTGTCTGGCTTTTAACCAGAACCAAGACACCTGACCACATCACACATGTTTAAACCTCTTTACTCTGGCCGGCAGTTTTTAGAATAGATTGTTTTCAGGCTCCTTGTGGCCTCTTCTGTCCGTGGTTTGAGGTATTTTATCTGTTCCAGACGCCCAGATTAAATCTCTTTTCAAAACATACTTTTAGCTTATCTTGATTATACATGAGTTTTTAAATTGTATCTGACCCAAATCATCTTTTTTTTTATCTATTTGCATTGATCTTGGATTACTGGAGTTGTTTTTTCTCTTTTTACTAACTATTTCATAATTTGTTGATTGTTATTTGCTGCCTTGTTTGAATAACTTTTTAACTTGGGTTTGGAAAAGTGTTGATCTCATTATTAAAAAAGCTGCAGACTTCCTTCAGTATTTGCTCTTTTTGTTGTTTCTGTTTTGTTAAATGTTGTTTGTTACCATCCTGCTGGCTTGATATTTTGTGCTGGATGCTTTTCATTGTGAAGCGCTTTTGATTTGAAAAGTGCTCTATAAATACATCTTATACTCACTGACTCAGAATCAAACATGTTTGATGTAATCTTGATAGTCGTAAATGAGACCAGCAAGTAAGGCTGAGACATCTGTTTGTGTTAACCGTTGGCTCCAACCTTAAATCTGCTGATGCACTGCAGAGTTGGCATGATCTGAAAGTTAGGCTGGAGGCCAAATCATCCCCTGAAACTTCTCTAGTAAGATTCCTGCATTTGCTGAATCAAACAGATGGACTTCTGATACCTGATTACCATCTTCTGGCTAAAGTTTGCCACTGCTTGTAAAAATAGTGAAGGCCACCGAACCAACAATTACATGAAAAGACTGAAAATATCCAAACACTTCAGCTGTACACATCGCAAATAAAGCTTTAATCCTTCTATTGACATAATTAATGTTCGTGTTCTGTTCAAAGATGCCACTGAAGAGGCTTCAAAAGACTTAATCTTACATCAAAACCATCTCAGCTGCCCTTCTTAAGCAGTCACATATTCTCACGGTCTCAAACAGACTCTGCATGTCATTACACAGACAGCATAATGTTACACAGTCAGATCCACACAAAACTGTCTTTTATTCCACCATCATACATAAAGGAGACCAAGCAGAGCCACCAGGAGCTGTCTCACCCCCTGCAGAAAGGCACACGGAAGTCTGACACAGGAGGGAAAAACACTTCACCTACTGTCAGAGTCTGACAACAGGCCTCCAAGGCTAGACTCAGCTTCCAGCACCTGCAGACAAACTGTCGCATGACATTGGACACAACAGACAAACACATACACCAGCTTTTGGTTTCTTTACTTCTCTTTATTTATAAAGAGAGAACATACAATTTGTCTAAGGGGAGAACTGTCCAAAGTTTCTGGTGGGACCGTAGCTGTCCAAACTGGCAGACAAGCAAGTAGGAAACATAAATACCCACACACACCATATATACGATGCGGAGCAAGGAGATTGTAACTTGCAACACAAGAAATTAGCGATAGACCGATTAATCAGGCTGATTATTTGGCATTTTAAGATAATCTGCTTCGGCCAATGTCTGCGCTCACGACGCCGATAGACAAAAAAATGTCTTCAGACACATCTGCAGGCAGCCTTGTCAGTG